GTTCGTTGCTAAAAAAAAAAAAATTTAGAACAACCCTATAATATTAGCAAGATCATTCAAACTTTAAGATAAAGACGAGAGAAACAAGTTGGCTCACGCCGGAGACGCAAGACGGCGAGCCACAACGCTATAATCCTAGCAAGTGATAGAGAGAAGGCGAGCCGTGGAGACGTTGTCTTACATTAATATGCATTTTCAATTATTTTAGCTGGTGCTAGTGTATATGTCTATTGTGCTCCCTTGATTAGGACTCAACCGGTCCAGGATATTCATCCAAGAGCATGAGAAACACTCAGGCTGCTATAGATAGCAATGAGCTATAGACCTCATTCGTTCTCACTATAGGACAAAAGACTACAGAAAAGTAAATAATACTTACTTAACTCAAGAAACGTTAATAAAATATGCACACTGTTACAAATAGTAAGAGCTAAAGATGGAATATTTGAAGGCAGAGATGAACAAAATTACCCACAAGCCGCAAGGCCTGTAAGTTTTTATATGGTCTAGTAGTTGTTCTAAATAACAATGCCCCCTTGCATCAAAGTCTCCATTGCTACTTGGGAGGTTGAGGTCAGGAGTGGACTTGCTTGAGCCAGAGTTTGAGGTTGCTGTGAGGCTAGCTGACGCACGCACCACTCTAGCCTGGGCAACAAGTGAGATCTGTCTCAAAAAAACAAACAAAAAAATAAAAACAAAATAAAAACAGAAACAGGGCCACTGGGTGGTCGTCACGGCCTGTACATCCTAGCTCTCTGGAGGCCGATGCGGGCGGATTGCTCGGAGGTCAGGAGAGTTCGAAACCAAGCCTGAGACCAGAAGGTGAGACCCCAATCTCTAACTATTAATAGGAAAGAAACTTATTGGGCCAACTAATTAGATAGTAGTATTACAAAAAAAATTAAAGATATATAATCTACACTCAATCAATACATCCAAGTGACTTAATATATTGAAGTATCTACTCTGTTGTAGACCTAACCTTTCCATTTTTTGGTAGGAGGACTTATTTCATACTACCTCCTACATTAAGCGACGGGGTCTCTCTCTTGCTCAGGCTGGTCTCGAACTCCTGAGTTTAAACGACCTTGGCCTCCCAGAGTGCTGGGATTACAGGCATAAGCCACCATGTATAGCCTGTTTAAGGTGTTTTTATTTATTATTTATTTATTTATTTATTTATTTATTTTGAGACAGAGACTCGCTTTGTTGCCCAGGCTAGAGTAAGTGCCGTGGTGTCAGCCTAGCTCACAGCAACCTCAAACTCCTGGGCTCAAGCAATCCTGCTGCCTCATCCTCTCAAGTAGCTGGGACTACAGGCATGCACCACCATGTCCGGCTAATTTTTTCCATATATATTAGTTGGCCAATTAATTTCTTTCTATTTATAGTAGAGACGGGGGTCTCGCTCTTGCTCAGGGTGGTTTCGAACTCCTGACCTCGAGTGATCCGCCCACCTCAGCCTCCCAGAGTGCTAGGATTACAGGCGTGAGCCACCGCGCCCGGCCTTAAGGTGTTTTTAAAAGAAATTCAGTGGGATGCTAGCATCGAAGATCATTATGACCTTTTAAAGTCTCTTCTTGGTTGATGAATCTCTTATTCTGATCTACCAATTATTTCCCGAGTATTGAATTAGATGCTTTTCTTCCTCTTTCTTTTTATTTTTTAGCATCTCGAGGTCTACATATGCACAATTTCCTTGTGAATTAAAGTATATTAGATTTTCTTCTGGTGAGGGCAAATAATGTCTTTGTATTTTTTGTTTTTGTTTGTATTTTCAAGAACTTCCTTCAATTATAGTGAATGAAAAGTTCTGTGAGCTTAACTGACTATATTTTTTATTAATGACATGTAGTGCTTTGAAAGTTTACTTCAAAAACCTTGATATGGGCTGGGCACGGTGGCTCACGTCTGTAATCCTAGCACTCTGGGAGGCTAAGGCGGGTGGACTGCTCAAGGTCAGTTCAAAACCAGCCTGAGCAAGAGCGAGACCCCTTCTCTACTATAAATAGAAAGAAATTAATTGGCCAACTAATATATATAGAAATAAATTAGCTGGGCATGGTGGTGCATGCCTGTAGTCACAGCTA